ACCAACAAAGTGTCCGAAGTCCGCGCGTTGGTCGACCAATTGCTCCAGCAAAAGTGGTTGGCTTTCAGTATTTTCAACGACGATCAGATCACCCTCGGCATCCGTGCCTTCTTGGAGCTTAGCGTGTTCATCCGTGGCCTTGGCGTGCTGGAATGCATGATTTGCCACGCCGATGTGTTGCAGGTACGACCCAATTCTCCCATGATGTGCCGCTTACCATAAGGACAGTGTGTGCGGTGCAAGACGCGCGACTGCCCCACCCGAGTCCATGAATCCTGCCTTCAAGAGCATCAGAAGGGTGGTCGGGCCTACCACTGCGCAACATGCCGCAAGCCGCTGCGATGAAGCACAGCATGTGATTGATGGGAGTGGCAGGATTTCTGAATGGGAGAGAGATACCTCGTTAAGTGCGCTTTTATATAATTATTGCCTTCAAATACTAAATTCAAGTGAACATTTGATATGCTGCGTGGTGTTATTAAAATAATAGACGAATAATGTCTTCAACATGGGTTGTGTCGTGTTAAGTACTATTTTAAATAATGGTGCCGTGCAATACAACGATGAAGCTTTAATTGAGTTTTCAATTAAAGCTCCAGTATTATATTGTTGGATTATTTGCTTTAAATTATTTTTTCACGTCAACTGTTACTTGTCATTCGTGGATTTTCCCTCCAAAACCTGCCGCCATGTCCAAAGCAGCCTCGACCGCTGCCCACGCCGACGACAATGAAAGCGATGTCGAAGAGACAGCACAGGAGCGCGTGATTGCGGAGGAGTACAAGATCTGGAAGAAGAACACGCCTTTCCTGTATGACCTCGTCATGACGCACGCGCTGGACTGGCCCGCATTGACTGTCCAGTGGTTGCCCAACGTGCACACACACAGTGGTAACGACTACTCGAGCCACAAACTGCTCCTAGGGACACACACGGACAACGAGTCGCAGAACTACCTCATGGTCGCGGAGGTGCGCTTGCCGTTGGAAGACACTGAGATCGACGCGCGCAATTACGACGACGACTCGTCCGAACTGGGTGGGTTTGGCGGTGCGTCTGGGAAAGTTGAGGTCCAAATCAAGATCAACCACGCTGGTGAAGTGAACCGGGCGAGGTACATGCCTCAGAACGACTTGATCGTCGCGACCAAGACCGTGTCGTCGGACGTGTACATTTTCGACATCTCCAAGCACCCGTCGACGCCCGCCGAGGGCTCGGGGTGCAATCCGGACTTCCGATGCATCGGACACACCAAGGAAGGGTACGGGCTGTGTTGGGACCCCCACCAAACCCATCACTTGATCAGCGGGTCCGACGACGGCATCGTGTGCGAATGGGATTTGGCGAACGCTGGCAAGCAAGTGCACCCGCTCAACAAGTACACGGGACACACGGACGTCATTGGCGACGTGGCGTGGCACATGCATCACCAAAAGCTGTTTGGGTCTGTCGGCGACGACAAGAAGCTCTTGATGTACGTACGTCGTTTGCTCGAATGTGCATGATGATCCTAACAGACGCCGCCGTGTAGCTGGGACATGCGTCTGAAGAGCTTTGACAAGCCGCTGACGTCAGTTAACGCCCATGACGCCCCTGTGAACAGCTTGTCGTTTAGTCCGTTCAGCGAGTACCTCTTGGCCACGGGATCGTCCGACAAGGTAGGCATCGCCGTCGTCGTTTGCGTTCCATCATGACCCTGCATTAGACGGTCAACTTGTGGGATATGCGAAACCTCAGCTCCAAGCTGCACACGTTTGCCGGACACAGCGAAGAAGTGTACCAAGTGGAGTGGTCCCCGCACAATGAGACCATCTTGGGGTCGTGCTCGCAGGACCGCCGCTTGCACGTGTGGGACTTGAGCAAGATTGGCGAAGAGCAGAGCGCAGAGGATGCCGAGGACGGTCCCCCCGAGCTCCTGGTACGGTCACCCTTTCTCTTGACATGTTCAACATGCGCGGAGAATCATCGAGTCGTGTGTAGTTTATTCATGGAGGACACACGGCCAAGATTTCCGACTTTTCGTGGAACCCGAACGATCCGTGGGTCGTCGCGTCCGTGTCGGAAGACAACATCCTCCAGATCTGGCAAATGGCCGAGAACATTTACAACGAGGAACAAGATGACGACGACGTTGCGGACGACGCACTAGAGTAGATAACTAAGGGAGCATTCGGCATGTACATATGCAGTGTGCACATACATACGTAGACGGCGGCAGCATCACGACACGTGTCATGACGAGGAGATGGGCTGGACGGTGGGGAGGTCGAGGGTTTCGGAGGCAACACATGCGCGAAGGAGCGTTGAGGCACCAGGACAAGCTCTTGCTTTCGAGTGTAAACATCCACCGACGGTGTCCCTCACGCGTGGAACGTCTGTCTACGTGGGTGTACGTTGATGGAGGAGAAGGCATGCATGCATCCTCACGTTCATCTGCTTCGTGTCCTGGAGCCGATTTCGTCGCCGCCCGGATACACGAGCCTTTCGCAATAATATTGGCGCCAAGACCATCATTCGACGACCTTCACTCTAGTATTTTGACCATGACGTACATGCCAGTCTGCGCGCAGGCCGACCTTCCCAACAACTCGCGGCGCTGTGTGCTGCTTCCTTCCTCCGGTCGCAGCGTTCTCCTCGTACATCACCAACATGTGATCTACTGCATAGATCAAGCGTGCTACCACCACGGTGGACCGCTCGCCACTGGGGACATTGAAGACTTGGGCGGCGTCGCGACGATCAAGTGTCCATGGCACAACTACAAGATCGCCTTGCACAACGGAGAAGGACTGTACATGGGCCTAGAGCCGGGCAAGATGACCCAGCCGGTGTTGAAGAGCAAGGGGGTCAAGCAACGCACCCATCCGGTCAAAGTCGTAGACGGCATGGTGCTCGTCCAAGACAGTTCCGATGACGGCGAGGAGTACGTCGTCATCGCGAGCGACGTCTACGCATTCGACACCAAGTGCATCCCCGACTTGGAAAGGAAGAAGGATCCCGACGAGGTCAAGATCCATTCGCGCATGTCGTAGTTCTCTTCCAGGCGCCATCAACACCCCTCTGGCCTCCTCCGCCGCCTATCCAGCGTCGTCATCGAGCCCATCCATCCCCCCCCCTCCCCCGTCGGCCCCCTCTAATCGGCCCCCTCTTCCTCTATCTCATGGTGACTAAAGTGTATGAATAAATACGTGGATTCTGTTGCACTTTGTTCAGCTGTCTACATTCACATCCCACACTCGCACGGTGCCATCCCACGACCCAGTCAGCAAGTTTGGATCGTGGAACCCCACGCCCGTGATGCCGCTCCTGTGGCCGGCCAGCACTTGGCCACACACGCCCGTGTACATGTTCCATACCCGCAGCGTGCCATCTTCGCTGCCAGAAATGACCTTGGTGAAGTCCCGCTGCAGCGTCGTAATGCGTCCGCCGTGTCCGGTCAGCTCGAGCCGCGCCCCTTTGCCGCTCGCGCGGAGGTCCCAGACTTTGACGACGCCGTCCGCAGACCCCGAGCAGATGGTCGGGTCGGCCGGACCTCCCAACGCTACACATGTCACGGGACCGCTGTGCCCCATCAGCACATGGGTACAGCTCTGTCCGCTGCGAAAGTGCACGTCCCACACCTTCAAGCTGCGGTCGTTGGAGGCACTGACGAGGCGATCGCCGGCGACTTGGAGCTCGGTGATGCCGCTCCGATGCGCCGTGAAGTGGCCCTTCTTGCGGCCCCCGTGGACGACGTCCCACACGTCGAGGCCGGCGCCGGCGTCGCCGCTCACGAGCACGGACGACGTCGCCAGGAACTTGAGGCACGTGATGGCACTTGCATGTGCCAAGTGCAGGACGCTGGCTTCCTTGGTCGAATCCCAAATGCGGATGCTCTTGTCCCACGACCCAGTAGCCAAAAGGACGCGATCCACCGCCAATTGTTTGCCCAACTCCAACGCCACCACGGGGGACGTGTGCCCCCGCAGCACCCGGCACGCCGACTCGGTGTCGGTCGCCGCCAAAAACCTCAGAAACGGCGGCTTGGGGCGGGACCTCGGGGATGTCCCGTACGCGTGCAGGTTCCACACCCGGACGGTGGCATCGTACGAGGTCGACACGACCGCGTGTCCCCGCACCTGGACATGCGTGATGGGCGCGCCGTGGCCGTCCAGATGATGCGTCACCGCGTCACTTGCATACAGATGCATGGATCCGTCGATACACCCCGCGACGACATGTTGGCCCTGGACGGCAAGACACGAGATGGGCGACGACGTTGCGATGAGAGCATTGGCGGCGTCGGACGAGCTAGACGCGTCAGATACATTGGACAGCTTGCGGCGGATGACCGTGTCCAAGTCGTACTGGGAAGATGGCGCCGATGATGCATGTAGTTCCATGTTGTTGGACGATGATGTCGTCCACATAGGAGCATGGCAAGTAGAAAGAAGTAGCGGGGATGATGGTAAGGATGATGTTTCCATGGACAGAACCAACGCGCGATGGAGATTGTCGACGAGTGTCGCCAGAGTCTCATGGAGGTCCTTGGGTTTCGAGTACGTGCTGCACATCCCACACACAAACGTGTGTACTTTAACCACGGGCACGTCCACACTGAGCATGTCGTACACCAGCGACCCCATGTGCGAGAAGAACATGTCGTCGGTCACAATCGCCGCCGCCTCGTCCGACTTGATGGCGGCTTCCACATCGCGACTATATCCCGTCAAATTCACCACTGTGGGCTTGTGGAGATGGTTGTTACCTGAACGCGTGGTGCCACATGTCGAGGGATCGGCAAATCGGTTGCGCCTTTAGGGACTGCTGCAAGTACTCGCGCTTGCCTACTTGTATACATACTTTATATATATATATATATATATATATTGTGCTTTCGAGTGAAATGTCGTGGTTTCTCGTTGGAATTTAAATCGATTTAATTGGCTACTTCAGATGAGCTCAAAATTACTAGCCAATCAAAACCCATTTCTCAATGAAATTCAACCAATTAGATCGATTGTGGATCGGTTTGGCCGGCGCGATTCGATTGCACCCGCTCCCCAAATTTGTATCAAATCGACGATATATATATATATATATATATATATGTTGTGGTGTATCCTTGTGTGCTTACCTCCTAGAGTCCCGAGCTGGTTGGGTTGCAAGGGATGATGCTGGGGGTGGGGGTGAGTCGTCCCTGGCACGACGCGGTAGAATTGCGCCGACACTTGGAGCAGCCCCCGGGCGTTGGTAAAGTCCTCGTGCACATGACACTGTTCGAGCATCTCGGATGCCAAGCTCACGAGCAGTCGAAAGCCCACGTCCCCTAGACAACTGCCGCTTCCCCGAGCGCCATTGTACGACTCGGATGAGGTCGAAGAGCGATGATGATGGTGGGGCTGCATCAAGATGAGCACAAACAACTCCCGGGCGTACGGTGCCTTGAAACTTGCTTTACACGCCTAGCAAATATATATATATATACATCCAAAACGTCGTCTAATACACAAATATATATATATATATATACTGGATGTGATATACCTCGCGCACGCCGTCCAACAAGGTGTCGTCCGACGAAAAGATGCCCACCAAGCACTTGTGCATGCTCTGCTCGACCTTTTCCTCTTCTGTAGACAACTGGCGATGCAAAGTATGCGATAACGTGTCGTGGGATCCACCGCTGCTATGTTTGGGGTACACGGCCTCCTCGAGGGTCGCTTTGTCGAGGCCGACGGCAGCTGCCGCGTCGTCCAGCGTCCACACCTTCAGAATCGGAACCACGGGCCCCATGTCCCCCCCAGCTACTGCATCGTCGTGAACGATCACTAACGACCGGGACTGAATGGCTTTGGCCATCGCATAGAGCGATCCGGGAAGGATGGGCGGCTGGTCCAGAGGCACCACCAGCACCTTGTCGCAGAGGCCATCTTTGATGATGCTGCTTTGAGCAGACACTTCCATCCACAGCAGCGGCGGCGACTGGTCCTGCGCTTTGCACAGCAGCGTGTACATCGAGTGAAACGCGTCCATGTGGGTGGAGCCGTGGTTTTCCAGGAACGCTTCAAATGTCTACCCGTCGAGATTACATTTGTGAGAGTTACCGACCTGGATGTATATGCGATGCTGTGTTGTCAAATGAATAGCTGACACAAAACCAGATCAGAACGAATAATGTACTCGTCCCTGACCTAGAATAGATATTCTATACTAGCCAATATATCTATAAAAATACACTAAAGCATGTATTTGTCGTGGATGTGCACAAAACAATAATATAGAAAACGTGAATAATAGTACTTTCTACTCTCAAATCAATTTTACAATTGTTATATTCAAATAAATTGTTCAAATCGAATCACATGCTGTAAAAGGATGACAAATACGGTAGATACCTAAAAATATATATCCCTAAATATATATATACCTAAATATATATGTACCTATATATATACCTATATATATATATCAAAAGGACATACCTGGGTTGTCAACAGTTTGGTCATGAACGGCATCGCGTCTGGTTTTACATAATTGGCCAAAAACCGCCGCTTGTTGAACACGGGAAAGCTCGAATTCACGAAAAACAAGCAATCTCGGTACCTACATACACATATTTTGTACATATATAATTTCCCATCAACGTTGAAAACTGGAATATATATATATATATTCCCGAACATTTCGTCATAATCGAATGTGAGCATGCATGGTGGTTGGGAAGTATATGTACCCCGTGAGCATGGTCGTGATATACGTCGCGACCGACAGCCGGATGTTGTGCTCCACGACGGGGCTCCATGCCTCGGCCTTGAACCTCTTAAGGCGGGTATAGAGGTCCCGGGTGAGGCCGAGGGGGAGGACCGGGGGCTGCGTGTCGCTGTGGGTTGTAAAGCTACTGGTGATGGTGCCTCTGTCGGCATCCACGAGTACGAGGTGGTCCGGGCGGCCCCCTTCAAACAAACTCGGGAGCCACGAGCTGTGCACGCCGAGGATGTACGGTAGCGGCGCCTGGAGGTATTCCGACAAGATGCGCGGCAGCATGGGCACGTACGGATGTTGCCACCGGAATGGGTACATCAGTGCTTTGAGGGTCTCTGTGACGGGGCACAGCAGGGACAACTGCGTCGAGTGCACGACGATGCGGTGCTCACACAGCCCTAAAATGACGAGCTGGACGATCACGGCGACGGGAAAGCAGTCGAAGAACACGCTCATCGAGTACGGAAGCGGGGGAAGCAGCACGGACGACGGGGGCTCGCTTCGTCCGCGATCAGCGGCGGACAAGGAGGACGGAAGCTCGGGGTGCTTGTTTGCAGTGGGGTTGCGCTGCTGCCGTCGAGGCATCGACAGTCTCCACGTGAGTCCGGCCAACGTGATGGACACGTCGAGGAGGTTCGGGATGGGGCGGGGGATGGTGGTCGTGAGATGGGTACAGTACGCTTCTGCCAAGTCCACGCCGTGCATGTACTGCCACATGAGTGCGATCGCCGCGTCTTGCATGAACTCGAGTAGGTTGGGTACCCGCGACAGCATGCACAGGCACTGGGGGTGCCATCGAGTCGGCAACGAGGCGGCGGCGATCGGCTCGTACACCCACACACAGGACCCGTAGCACTTGGACAAACCATCGGCCCCCCCAGACAACACAAACGTAAACTGCTTGGGATGCGGCGGATGACGACAGTGCTCTTCTGACAGCGTGGCTTCGTACCCGCCAGGAAAGCAGAACCATTCGATCTTGGTGGGCAGAGGAAAATCGGTGCGGTCGTGTGGAGGGTATCGTTTGAGTATGACGTTGTCCGTGGGGGTCTTGTCGGCGTCCGGGCAGCGGAGGGATGGGGGGCCCACGAGCAGCACATAGTCCACCAACCCCGTGGGCAGGCACAAGTCTGTCGTCGCCGCCTCGTCCTCCATGTCTTCGTCGACGTGGGTCGAGGGATCGGACGAAGGATGTCCGATGAAGCTGGGGTGCCGCGGAGGATGGTGATGGAGCGGACTCGACGGCGCCACGGCCGTGAACTTGAGACTGACGCGGATCGCGGCGCGGGTGAACGTCTGGGACGTCGTGTTGCCTGTGAACGAGTACCATTGTTCGATTTCTTCGTTCTCGGGCAGTCGAGACAGCGGAATCGACACTACAGACACGCATACATGAAGGTGGGCGGGGGTGAGAAGAGACGCGGAAGCAGAGGCGGCGTACGTACCTTTGCCGATGCACCCTGGATGATGGTCCATGTCCTCTGCGAGCAAATCGTAGTAGGGAGGATTTCGCATGCGATCGATGCCGTACAGCGTCAGCACTTCGTCACAGCACACTGTGTCGATCATAAACTCCTGCGGATGTTGTTAAGCATCATGGTGGGATATTTGGCGTACCTCGTTCCACGAGTCATGCGACGCTAGGATGCAGTCCGTCGAGTATAAATGAGGTGACTCGCCAGTGATATGCACCACTACACACACGGCTGCAGCGGTTGGGGGCAGTTTGGTGTCGGCGGTGGGTTTGCGGCCGGTGAGGGAGGTCCGTCGGAACGCCTTCACCCATCTATACGTGGTGGAGGTCGACAACGCTTCATGTGCAGGATCGAGCTTTGCCAACGACAAGTCCGACCCTTCAATGACTACGTGGATGTGCACTGAGCATACTCAACGGTGGATTCATTGTCGTACCGCGAATGGTAAGCCTGCCAAAGGTGGACGATGTGGACATTGGGAGCGTGGGTTGCTTTGTAAGCGACGGGGATGATATAACCCTTGGTGCTTCGACGTCTCCGTCGAGTGCCAATTCCGTGGCTGGCGAGATGCGCGATGTCGTCTTGGGGTCCCCTCCATTGTCGCTGCGCATGAAGATCGATCTCACCTTGGACATCAACGACGTCTAAGAAACGATCTCTCATTTGATATAATTCGTCCAAAATTGGGCCAAAAAGATGTATCAAAACATAGAAGAAGGTAATAATTTTATTCGAAATAAGATTGTAACAAAAAATCTCAATGATCATTATAACGTTATACAGTAGTATATTCTCCTTAGATGTATGTTATTATGTACACTAATTGCAGGTACAATTCG